CTTTCCCTATTCATTACCTTCCCTCACTCTCTAATTAAGCCCCTCTGGTCTGGAGGACTCTTAGAAAACATCAGCTGGGATGAAACACTCATCACTGCTGACAAGGGCTGCAACACAGTGGTTCTCGCATGATGTGGCAGCTAAGGAATGATTTAGGGTGCACCAGCAGTGTCCAAATCTCTGGCTTTTTTCAGAACATTCTGGGGTATTTCTGTGGGATCTTTGGGATGAGGGATGCAGACACAGGACTTGAATGTTGTGATATGGAAGTGGTCACCACGTGAACTAACTGTGTCCCTTTGTACCTGGCAGGGCGAGATTGGGGAGCCCGGACAGAAGGGCAGCAAGGGCGACAAGGGGGAGCAGGTGAGTGGGGTAGATGCTGTTGAAGCCACTTCCCTGGAGGAGCGTGGTTCTGGTGTGTGTCTTGCTGGAAACAGAAAATACCAATTTAATTTCTTTCTGTCATTGCTTCATTTTCTCCTTTGCTTCATCAAATACCCACACAATGTAAAAAAGAGGGAGGACCCGAGGTGTGAGCCTGCAGCTCCCAGGAACATACTGAGATGTTTCCATGTCACCCCTGTACTGTGTAAATATCAGGAGCAGCCCCTGCCATTCGAGTCAGGTGTTGGGCTGTAGTTCCTTTTCTAGTTGTCTGCAGCACTCTCAGGCACCCTTTATGCGCTGCTCAGAGCCAGGGGAAGATACATGACACATAAGTATCTAGAGAGAACTGAGTGGTGTGATGGTGTGATGGTGTTTTGCTTGAGAAAAAGCGCATTTAGATGTGTCTGCTGTGCCACTGGCACCAGGGCTGAGGGATGCTGGTGTGTCTGGGGAGACCTGACCCTCTTCTCTCTCTGTTTTGGGAATTAATGCACATTGAATGGAAGCTGTCTTGAAGGGCATCGCCTTTCGAAGGTGAGGGGTTTTACTGTGCTCCTAATGCTGACATTGCTCTTCTGTTTCATGACAGGGTCCACCAGGTCCTACTGGCCCGCAGGGTCCAATTGGTCAGCCTGGCCCCGCTGTGAGTATTGTCTCCCACTAGCAGAAATTCCCTTTCTTACCATAAGATCCCGTGGGAAGCTCTGGAAGGACTGGCAGTTCCTCCCTGGCACTGCTGATGCCCAGGGCATTACCACTGGCTGAAGCAGGAGGTGGTGGGGATGGGACTTTGCATCTGCCTCATGACTTTGCTAAGCTGTGGTAGACCCTTTCCTCGTAGGGTGCTGATGGAGAGCCAGGTCCCAGAGGACAGCAAGGCCTCTTTGGTCAGAAGGGTGATGAAGGCCCTCGAGGTTTCCCTGGTCCCCCTGGCCCAGTGGGCTTGCAGGTAATTGGCAGCATCGAGGGAGGGCTCAGGGTGATGAGAGCTGGGGTTCCGCCTGAGATGTTCACAGCTCAAACCCATCTCCTCCACAGGGCTTGCCTGGACCGCCTGGTGAGAAGGGAGAAACAGGTGATGTTGGGCAAATGGTAAGATGCTTTTGTACTTCTCTATTTGTCACTGGCATAGACGTTGCTTCAAGAAATGTGTCTTAAATCTGTCTCCCCTTTCTCTCAGGGCCCGCCAGGCCCACCTGGACCCAGAGGTCCCTCAGGACCACCAGGAGCAGATGGTCCGCAGGGTCCTTCTGGGGGAATAGGAAATCCTGGTGCAGTAGGAGAGAAGGTAAGAAAACATCCAGGGAAACCTGACTGAGGCTTTGCTGTGCCGGTAAACTCAGCACCCTGCAGAAGTACAGGTGTGCTCATCCTCTTTTCCCCTCTGCAGGGTGAGCCTGGTGAATCTGGTGAGCCTGGTCTTCCTGGCGAGGTTGGCCTCCCGGTGAGTACACTACAGGGTGGCTCCTAATCTGATGGAGAAGAGCTTTTCTTCAGGGGTATCCTCTGAAGAGCTGTTGAAGGACAGACATGTCCTGGTTGGACAGGCATGGATGTGGATGGGGCTGCAGGGGCTGTACCAGTCGTGTTCTTGGTCTGGGTATTGGGTGACACATCACAATGTTCCTGGGTATTTATAGTGTAACATTTAGTCACCGAACATGGGCTACCCACAGCTGAACATCATGAACACCATTTAGCCTTCGTGGGAAGGGACTGCTAAATCATGTTCTCGTGCTTTGGGATACAAATAGAGCTTCTTTCTCAGAATTGATCCGAAGAGGAGTTAGAGATTGGTAAGTTGTTTTCCTGGAAAATAGAAACACCCTTTTTTCCTTTACAGGGTCCTAAAGGTGAAAGAGGTGAAAAAGGTGAAGCAGGTCCTTCTGGTGCTGCTGGTCCACCTGGCCCCAAAGGTCCACCAGGCGATGACGGTCCCAAAGGCAGCCCTGTATGTACCCCTCCTGCCCAAGCAGTGCTCCTTTGTCTTGCCCAGCAGAGATTTCTGCAAGAAAGAGATCTCTGTGGAAATCTGAAACAGTTTACCAGCCAGAGAATTGCTCCTCCAATGATACATGGTACTAGTCCCCTTCTTCAAGGTGCTAAGGAGGAAAAGACCCACCTGTACCTTATCTTCCTGCAGTACTTGAGTTATTGGTCCTTTTTGCAGGCTATCAGAAATCCCTATGGAAAGGGCCTGCAGTAGGTTCACTTTACACTTGAGCTTATGTATTGCCAAGGTCCTCTGCACCAGAGTGAAGCTTCTGAAACAGTGCGGAGATATATGTGAATCTGGGAGTTGTACCTCAAGGGTCAGAACCTTGCTGATGCTGATTGCTGTAGCTCTGTTGAAGCCAGTAGAGCTATACTGATCTATACCAGATGACAATAGCACAGTATTTATCTCGCTGACTTCTTTGATACTTGCCTGCTGAAGAAATTTCTGCTGTGATACGCAGAGGAGGCAGGAGAGTCAGTCATCACTCTCAGCAGATGGGGTTTGGGGATATTATGTTACTGGTTGAGGCCTGTTGTCTGAACACTGGTCTCAGAGTCATTTGAAGTACACAATAGACATTGTATGGAGAAGAATGGTGAAGTGTTTTAGTCATTAAATGCTTTGAGAGGATCTTCCTGTGTGTTATCAGGACATGACACCATGTAGTAAGCAATCACCACGTATCGAGCAAAAGTAAAACCTAACCTGCACATTCCCCAAAGCTGTGAGGATTTTGCTGTCACTTGTCCAATGTGTTTATGAAAAACTAGTGATGCTCCTGCTTTGCGCAGGGTGGATGCAGAGCTGAACTGGTGGCTGGGACAGGATGAAATCACTGAAGATGAGTTGTGATCTGGGACTGTCTGAGGGTGGAGAACCGGGGCTTTGCTCCATAGGATGACTGTCTGTGTTGTCACTGGGGTCACAGGCACTAGTGTTCCACTGTGCTCCAGATGCAATCTCTCTGATTTAGGGATATCCTTCTCTCTTTGCAGGGTCCGGTTGGTTTCCCTGGTGACCCTGGTCCTCCTGGAGAACCTGGTCCAGCTGTAAGTGTCTGTCTCATAGAAAAGCAGTTAGGTTCCTCCTTGTGGTTTGGTAAAATACATCAGTGTGCTGTTCGTTCACCAGCATCTCCTCTGGAATTCACTCTTCCTTTACTTGGCAAAGAGGAGGAAGTTGCACCATGAGACTATTTGTCTGACCATGCTACAAGCTTTGGGGCAGTAGCTGTACAAGTGCTGCTACCCGTGATATTTGACATAGGACGTTTGCTGTTGCCAGTGTTCCCAACAAGAGATGGGAAGGGACGGTGCCTGGTGGCATGAAGACCAGCTGAACACTCCTGTTGCTGCTAATGTTTTGCTCAACTGTATTCATACCCAAAGTGCATCTGTTTGTTTCTTTGTTCTTCCTTTTTAGGGTCAGGATGGTCCCCCTGGTGACAAAGGTGATGATGGCGAACCTGGACAGACTGTGAGTAACTGAATAGGTGACCTCTGTTCCCCATCAGTCCCCAAGGTTTCCGTGCACAGGTCCAAGGACATACAGCACCCAATTCCCACCAGCTTCTGCTGCGCTGGTCCCCTAGTGCCTGTCTCTCCCGCCTGTGTCAGCCTGGCCGCTGCATCCACCCAGGCTGCTTAGCAATGTATCCTCAAAGCAAACATTAACTTCTGGGAAAACAAAACTCCTTCATTTTAACTTTGCTGTGCCTTATGGTGTTTCCTGGTGGGAAGGGATAAAACAAGAAACCACCTGCACCCCGAGGAGGTGTTGGGAGTTGTGCTGCCCACGCCTCGGCTCAGCACAAACTCCAGAGCTCAACTTGAGTTTTACACGTTTGCTCCTCCTTCCCATGTCTCGTGGTGCAGTTATGGCTTGTTCTGCTTCCCTCTCTATCTAGGGTTCCCCTGGTCCCACGGGAGAGCCAGGCCCCTCTGGACCCCCAGGAAAAAGGGTAAGCTGATGGTTTTAGGGGTGTTCTTCCAAATGTATTTGCGTTCAATTTGTGAAGCTGATGTTAGTAATAGGTCTACAGTAAATGCAAAGCAGTAGCATGTGAAATAAAAAATAATTAAAAGGAGTATCTTTTTAATGCACCATCCCAGCCATTGGGAATTGCTGGGAAGTTGTCATCACAACCCATGGATTTCTGAGATTTTAACACCCAAAAGCAAACACAAGGATAAGGTGCTCCTGCTCTTCCTGCCTTGCTGCAGAGCCCAGGGATTCATTTAGCAAGAAGTTAATTTAAAAAGCTTCTCGGAGATATTTGTCTTCATTTTGTCTTCTTCCCTGGGGCTGTAGCATCATTTTGCTAATTCCAGTGGTTCATTTCAGATCAGTGGGATCTAATTGCATTTTGCATCTATTTTATGCTTTCTCTAGGGCCCTCCTGGTCCAGCTGGTCCCGAAGGAAGGCAAGGAGAGAAAGGAGCCAAGGTAGGAGCTGAAAGGGGTTTCACTTCTGCTGCCCTTTGTATGCCAAAAGGATCTCCCTTCAACAGTGCTGGCGTTTGAAGGACAGTGATTTGATTTCTCTGTGTGTTACAACAAATTAGCCTGAGTTTGGGGCTGTTGACCTCCAGTCTAAGCTTATGTTTCATCTTTTCACAAACTCCGTGGAGATAATTAGGGCTTGGTAAGGTCATGAGAATGTTTTGCTTGTTTTGAAATTACAAAGTGCCATGTTTGGCAATTCAGTGTGTTGTAACTGAGAGGCGTGCACAGCCCTGCGTCCTTTCCAGGGCAGACACAGTGTTACTGGACCAGGGTTGTTTTGGCAGGGGTGGTGGGGAGATGTAGAGTGGGATTGCAAACTACAGACCCAGTTTTTGTGGTGGCTGTGGGAGCTCTGGTGGAAGAGGATGTCCTTTGATAGCTCATGTCCCAGGACCATACCCAGGACAGCTCAGAGAGCTCACAGCCAAAGGGTGGTTCCTGCTGGAAATCAGCAGAAATGGTAAAACCTGAAAAGCGAAAGAACTTGGAGGCTGTCCTCAGTGTGTAAGGGCTGGGGAGCAGTAGGAAAACGAACGTATAGGAAGTTTAACATGCTTTGCCTGGACCAGCGCTCGCTCTGTGACACCCTGGCAGCAGCCACAGCGTATTCAAGAAGATCGTTTGATGCCCTAGTGCAAATTAAACCATGCTGCCTCTTACATCTAGGGTGAAGCTGGTTTGGAAGGACCTCCTGGCAAGACTGGCCCAATCGGTCCCCAAGGTGCTCCAGGGAAGCCCGGCCCTGATGGTCTTCGAGGGATTCCTGGTCCAGTTGTGAGTATGCCCAAACTGAGCAGAGTCTGAGAAAGCTGCTGGGCAGGGTTGTTCCTGGTGCTTACCGTAACCCATCTGCCTTGGAAGATGCCTTTCTCCCAGTGTGACGCTTAAATGCCTGATAGCAGATAAAACACATTTAGTGGAAATAATGTAACACTGAATATCACCTCCCAGCATGTTTTACTTAAGACTTGGGTCTGCTCACTCCTCTCCATGGGTGAAAGTTTCCTACAAGGTCCCTTTTCCAGTAGGGATTTGAGCATGAAAGGAACATAAATCCTTTAGCCTTTACCACCTGTGAGAAGCGAGGGCAAACATTCCCTGGCACAGGGACCAGATAAGGAAAGGTGAATAATGGGAATAATCCCAGCTGGGAACACTGCTCTCATGAGAAATTGTTTTGAGGGAATTGCACTGTTTTACAGGGTGAACAAGGTCTCCCGGGATCCCCTGGCCCAGATGGTCCTCCAGGCCCAATGGTATGTCCAGACCATCAAATTCCATGTGTTTTTGAAAGGAGTGAATGCATGGGGCAATGGTTGGACTTGGTGATCTTAAAGGTCTTTTCCAACCTAGCTGATTCTATGATTTCACATGAATTCATTCTCTTTTGTTTTCCCTCCTGTCTCTCAAAGGGCCCACCGGGTTTGCCTGGTCTTAAAGGAGACTCCGGCCCCAAAGGAGAGAAGGTGAGGATATCACACACAATCTCATTGCATGACCTGGTGCTTGTGTCTGGGTGTGGGGAAAAAAATGCCGTTGTAGAGGGGTTCTGCAGCTGGCAAAGTCCTATCACCTTGCTTAGATACTTGGGATGTATCTAGCAATGTCCTTGCTGGGTGGCTTTGGCATTTGGGTGCCATCAGTGAGAGATCATTGTTAACATCTGCTGCTTTCCTCTAGGGTCATCCAGGTTTAATTGGTCTTATTGGGCCACCAGGAGAGCAGGGAGAAAAGGGTGACAGAGGTCTCCCAGGGCCCCAGGGCTCAGCAGGACCCAAAGGAGAACAGGTGAGTATTCCAGAAGACATTCACGGAATGTGCTTTTGAGCTGTGGGGTTTGCTGCCCTCGAGCAGGTACAGCACAGCGGAGATGCTCAACCTTGGCGAATTTCTGAGGAATATTTTCTATATTAATGTGTTTTATTTTACATGTGAGATGGAGATGCTCCAAAATGACCCATTTTTAGTGGAAGGCGGGTTCTCAAGGATCATATGAAAAGAGCTGAGTAGACTTGGAGGGATGGTACCATTAAATATGCATCTAGGGGACAGTGTTTTAAAACTGTGTGTCAAATGGGATAGGAGATTCTTTGGTCTTGCTCTTATCTGGACCATGCACATGCTTAAAACCAGTTAAACCTCCAAATTTGAATGGAGTCCTCCAAAACCAGTTGGTCAGCTGTGAGCAGATGTCAGTTTTGTAGTTATATGCCAGCACTGGTGTATTAAAGTCAATGCTGTTCTGCTTTTATTTTCCAGGGTATCACAGGTCCTTCTGGACCGATCGGACCTCCAGGGCCACCAGGATTACCGGTACGTGACAAATAATTGCCTCTGAGTTCCCCGGGAGCTACACGGTCTTTCTGGAGTCACCTCTGTGCTCCCAGATACACCCAGCAGAGTCTTTCTGGCCTGAGCTTGTATGAGAAAGCTGATGGGGATGGTTTTGCCCAGAGGAGCTGGTTAAAAACACTTGACCAGGTTACAGGAGTACTGAGGGGTGATGGTTGAGCTGAGAGATGGGCACAGTGGGAGGGAAGACAGGGAAATGAGCCCACCCTGTTTCCCTCCCTCTTTCTTTTGGGTTACCTGCAACCACATGGTGATTTCTTGCACTTTCTGCTGTTGGTGTGTTTTTGACTGGATGCCCAAAGGCTGCAGCCTGCACCTTGGGCAATCAGCATGTGCTGTGTGTCCTCTGCATGGAGCCAGGACCAGCCCTGGGCTGTAGTAATCACCCAGCAGCTTTTCCAGCCCCCATCCAGGCAGGAGTGTGGAGCATGGAGCACTGACACACATTGGTCTGACACAAATGTGTTTTATATGTTAGCAAGTAACACTGAACTCCAACGGATGGGAAAAGTGGGAAAAGAAAGGAAGTGAATACTGAAGCCCACCTTGTCTAAGGCTACTCCGTCTCTCTGAGGGGAGCCTGCTATTTTCTCTGCTGGGAACTGCACTGACTCTGCTCTATTTTTCTCCAAACAGGGTCCACCTGGTCCCAAAGGTGCTAAAGGATCATCAGTGAGTATAGACATTGTTAAAAGAAGAGGCTGAGGAGCAGTTATTAAGTGCATAACCCTCCGCAGCTCCTCCACGTCAGTGGCACTAAGGCAATTGGCCAAAGATGGCTGTAGCAAGTACACCCTTTTCGGGCTGTCTGAGCCCGAGGAATGGTAACGGGGAAAGGTTTCTGTTGCACACACTGTGCTTCAGTGAACATCAGTGCAGCAGAGACCACAAGGAGGAATCCAGTGCACAGTCCTTAGGAGAAAACCTGCTGCTGTAAGGCGGCGGGTATTAAAAATAGACAGAGCGGGAGGTGGCGAGCTGGGAAGTGCAGAACGCAGCGAGAATGTGACAGTGAAGCAAGATTCATGTTACAGATCTCCCATGCAGGCAGCTAAAAATTCCTCTTGGGCAGCTCCCTAATGTCTCCTTCCCGTGCAGAACTCAACGTTTTATTGAGATTTTATTTGATTTATGAACATTTGGGTTGGTTTGGAGAGGTCACATTGCCAGGCACTGGAACAGTCTTCCCTTTCCATAGGAAGCCTAAGCAAGAGCTGACTGTTTAACCCCAAGCATTTGACTGATCTTTTCCTTAAGCATCCTTGGAGGAGGGATGGGGGAGTGCAAGGAGGACCCCTCTTATTTGCTGAAGGGTGCAGGAAGAAGGGACAGGAAGAAAGTTTCTACCACAAGAGACTATTAGAAGAACTAATGTTTGGGATGTGCTGGAGATGACAAGTGCTTTTTCCTGTGTGACTCATATGTCTTTCCCTTGTTTTTCTTCCCAGGGTCCAACAGGTCCAAAGGGTGAATCGGGTCTTCCTGGGCCACCAGGGCCTCCTGTAAGTAGAACCCATTATAGGAAGCATGAAATGAGGCTCAGATTTAGTGGGTGTTGTAATGCCGGGGACTAGAAGATTTCTGGGCAGAGATTCAGTGTGTTGGGAGTCCCTGCAATGCATTGAAATCTCTTAGAGGTGCTGGGGAAGAAAGCAGAATGTGAATGGAGAAGTTACTAATGGGAAGATGACAAGAGAAGATGGATCCAGTGTTCGAGTTTGGTGGCCAGGGTTTTTATCAGTGCCATCATGGGTGTTTTACATGTGTGTATGTCTTGTGATGCTGCTTTGGCCTCTTCTGTCTCTTCCCCACTGCCAATGCAATGAGTGGTTATATCTTCTTTCCCCACAAATTAGGGTCCTCCTGGAGAAGTCATCCAGCCATTGCCCATCCAGTCTTCCAAGAGGACCAGGCGGAACATTGATGCCAGCCAGCTGGTGGATGATGGGAATGACGATAACTACAAGGGCTAGGCAG